GAAGGAAGGAAGGAAGGAAGGAAGGAAGGAAGGAAGGAAGGAAGGAAGGAAAAAGGATAATGGGGAGAACACAATAAACCAAACACAAAGAATTAGAAATGATATAGCAATGCTTTTTTTTCTTTTAAGCTTTTGCTTATTTGTTTTCAGTTCACTTGGTGGTTGTGCAGCCATTTCTTTTCAAAATCCAAATAAGTGAGTCCAGACCAGACAGAAGCACACGCAAGCTGAGTCTTTTCTTCTGGGGGTCCAGGTAGGATTCTATACATATAAAAACATTGGTAGAATGTTTTTGTATGTATAAGGCCTGGAAATTAAAGCAATGTCATGCCCCATCTCACACTGCCACATATACCAGCATGTCCTGTTACAAGTTAGATGTTCTATCTGTGTAGGTGTGATGTGGGAGATCTTTCCTGGATTTTCAGAGAATACTGAACACTCAGACTAAAGCAGCCTCCCCTTGCTGCTCAGGGCTCAGGACAATCTTGTGATCCTGATTTCTCTGCTATCATTGTTCTCTGTCCTAGAGCACCAACTAGTCTCTTTTCTTTCCTCTGACTAGCATTTCAGCAGCAGATATTCCAGTCTAAGGATGCCTACTTTGCTCTTCAGTACAATTACACTACACACCAAAGTAGATCCATGTCCATGGATCTGAGGGTCAGCTACACTGGGTTCACACTTGTTCTTTTCTAATCATTTGTTTGGCCAATTTAGAGGGGAAAGCTGAAGCTTGACCTCTCCAGTGTTCTTGTATCTACATTCTCATTGTTCCCTCTTAGCTTGTACAAGCATAACAACTCAGCCATTCCTGCCTCCTCTCTGACTCAGTTTTCTCCTTTTAAAGGATTAACAATGTTTTCTTTTTGAGCCCCCCTCTACAGGAGGAAATTCACATCTGGTAAGGTAAACATAGTAAAAATCCTGTAACTCTAGAGATTATAGGTCCCAGTATAGAAGATACTGTCATCATTTTGAAATATGAACATGTCTGTCAAATTTCTTTCTAATAATTATGCTTAAATCTGTTGCTGATAGTTGTGCCACTACTGCACTAGTAGGCACATCTTGGGTAGCGTGTTGACAGTATAACATGCAGTTTTCATTGGAATACTAGTTAAAGAATCTATTTGACTTTCAAATGAACATCGTCAGTTATATTGAATTAGCTGACTTATACAGAAGACTTGTATTAAGTCTGCAATGCCAGGCCTTTTTCTAATTTAAACCTGGTGATGATAAATTTCATGTTATGTATATAATAGCACATTTCTATCTTAGCACAGACTCTTAACACAAGTCCAGAAACCTAAATGAACAATACTATGTAAGTCCGATAGAAATATAGGAACAATTCATCAGAGACTAAAAAATACCATTCCCAGTTTGTCAGACATTATGAATGAAATAATTTTTAACAATTATTGTTTCTTAAAAATACATTTCACACTGGGAAGTGGTGGCATACACCTTTAATTTTAGCACTTGGGAGACAAAGGAAGATGGATCTCTGTGAGTTCAAGGCCAGCCTGGTCTACAAAGCAATTTCCAAGACAGTTGGGACTGTTCTATAGAGAAATCCTGTCTTGAAAAACAAAACAAAATAAACAAATAAAAATCACTTTTCCACATTAAAAAAATGTACTCAAGTAAAAGTAAAATACAGAAAATTACTTTTGAGGGAAGAATTATCTTAGTATCTCTGGAGGATAAATCTGCCTGTAGCATAATGGAATAATCCAAATCTCTTTTATGAGCTGGGAAAATGATCAGTGCAAGAACTTTTCAGATGTAATGGATTTTTCTAAGAACAGTGATTATTCTTACAAATTCATGCTATAACCAACAAGAGTGTTAGCAGTCCCACATTCTTTCCCTATTATAAGCATATGAATTACTGGCATCGTTTAGAAATGTTAGTTTCCCACTTTTATGTGCTTACCAATGTGGCTTAGACATAAGGGATACAAATTTAGGGCTGCTAAGATGGCTCAGTGGGTAAATGTGCTTGCCACCAGGCTGACTCTTACATGTGTGTCTTGCTGCCCATTTGTTCATGTTAGACATAATCTAAAGCTACTCTACATTTCTTTTTAAATATTTTTTAATTTTTAGATTATGATATAATTAAATTATTTCCCTCTTCCATTTCTTCCCTGAAAATTCTCTTATATATGGTTTCTTTTTTCATTAATTTTTATTACATAGACATACACACAAATACATTTTGTGTATTCCTAAACATAGAGTTGTCAATCTGTATAATGTTACTTGTATGTATGTTTTTAGGGATGATCATTTAGTATTGGATTAATCAATTTCTGTGATCTTCTTCAGGGAAGACTATTTCTCCTGCTCTCATCATTCCTTGACTGCCTATAGTTCTTAACGTAGGATTGAGGCCCCTGAACATTAATGCATCCACTTGGCATGCATGTTGTTGTCCTTATTCAGCACATTTACACAGTCATGTTGGTGATGGGTGTAGCTTCTGACATTCCTAGGAGATACAATCTCATAGCAAACTCCCTGTTCTTCTTCCTCTTCCAATTTTACTGGCTGCTCTTCCACAATGCTCCCTGGGCCTTAGGTTAAAGAGTTGTTTTGTAGCTGTATCCGCTGGGACTGGGTTTCAGAACTCAGCATTTTGGTTGGCTGTGGTTTTCTGTAATGATCTACATCTGTAACAAAGAGAAAATTATTTGATGAGGGGCAAGGACTACACATATCTATAAAGACAGATATTTAGGCTATACTTAGGGATTATACTGGTTTAGTGAAGTGGTGTGGTTGTGGTTCTTCTTCCAAGATTCATGACTTCATTAGCCCTAGATAGATGGCTAGGTTTCCAGATCCAGTAATAATGTTTCTCTTGTCAAATAGGTCTTAAGTCCAACTATAGTGCTGCTGATTCCCACCAAGTATTTGTGCCACTACTTCACCCTTGTTTGTATTTTGCCATGCTAGTCATTGCTGGATTCATAGGCATCATAGCTAGGTAAGGCTGTAGTTGCTTCTTTTCATTGGAACCTTGCATGGTGTTTTCTGATACCACGGAAATTAGTTCTCAGGGAGTAGTCCTTCAGGCCAGTTCCAGATCAGGGCCTTCTGGGTCCTGCTTCTGAAGTACACTGTGTCTTCAGCAATAGGAACTTATTTTCCACCTCTGAGGGACCACGGCAATGTCCTATAATTTGGGGGGAATACCTTGGACAACCCTGACCAACAACTTGAAAAAGGGCTTCTTATCCCTGGTATTGGAGTTTTTGTTAGTTGGTCTTTAGCTCTTGGAGGGAGCAACAGAAACAATTAGAAATTTTCATTCAAACGCTCTATGTACATTTACACACATATATGTATGTATGCACATATATATGTATCACAATGGTT